AAGTCAGTGGCGCGAATCCGGTCTGCCTGTCGAAATCCCGTGCCCCGTAAAAAAAATATCAAAAGATGTAGGGTGAAACACAACAAATTTTTGTTATTCCAGTTATCTTCCATTTTCCCGTGTTTCACCATGTTCTGTACTCCAATCCACCTGTCCCCTTTCATTGTTATTGTTAATACTGTTGTTGCGTTGCTTGTCTACAAACCAGTGGTAAATAATAATATAACTCCAGGTAAACTGATAGCGCTTGTACGGCCACGGTCTCTCTCCTGACAGTTCACCGTACGTTTGTATACTCAATACACAAAAAAGGAAGTAAAAAATTTATTCATTTACGAAGAAACCGAAATGCAATTTACAGTTTCAACCTATCACTATCATGAGGCTTCAAAGGTGAGGGACAGAACATATCAATCAGTGACATTAAATTTTCTCTATCGTCAGAAACGAGAATGAGGAAAACAATCCCAGGGTTGATGTAATTACCTAACAACGATGGTTCATTATTGTCAATCGGTAGTCGCGGCGGTGCCACGGATGTCTCAAGTTGGCAAATCCCAATCGAGCTTTCTGTATGCGAGCTGACACTTTGTCCGTGATGATTCCACGTGAGGCATAACTGCCCAAATAAGAAAAACTTGTCCAATTGGTCTATCACTAACCCAGCTAGAGTGAAGCTGGGAGCTGGACCAAACACGTCTTGTAGCAACATTTTGCACCTTGAAGGTGCGAAGCGCATGTCGAACATTGATACACTAGCACTCAAACTATACAGAAAAGCTTGCAACTTACCTGGATCTTCAATTAGCAGAACAATGTGATCTGCACACTCCAGACCAGACAGATTACCACCCGGAAGCAAATCGATGCTACTATCCCCGCATGAGGACCGGGTTACTTCCGCAATCAAATCTATGTACATTTCGCACACTTCTGACGCCAAACTGTGTGCCAAACAAATCATGGTACCATAATCTCTGTAAAAAAAACGTTCCATGAGTTGCATGTGGGCCGAATACTGCCAGGTTGCCTGGGCCAAGGTAGGTGAATTTTCGTGAGAAATCCACAACTGGAGCCTTCAACTAACCAAAGCCTGACCCTCAAGGAAGCGGAGCGGTGTATGAAAACCGCAATCCACTGGGGGGGAGGGGGTGTCCGGTTCATTGAATCATATGCCCTTTGGACGGGGTCAAACGTACATGGTGCCTAATCGAGCCGGTGACCACTACAACAATAGGGGTGTGATTTGTACGCCTCCCCTTGGTTGATTTGGAATCAGGGATTTTGGCCAACTCCCCCAGATGACCTACCAGTGGTTCACCAACCCGGATGCCGGCTTTTCGTCCTCTCACTTTGGTGGGAAAACATCGCCATGAGAAGGCACTGAGTACGGCAGTGGCGTTCTTGCATCTTCTCAATTTCTTTGCAAACTTAGACCAATGAATTGAGGAAATTGGCTTGTCTTAGCCACGACGAATGAAACCAAAACACAAGGCGTTGGTGACAACGTTTCGACCCTCCTGGGAGGTGTTTTTCAGGTCGGCTAATCGGTTAATCTCACGTTACAAGTAATTGTAGGGTGATGGGATGATGACATCGTATAGGACTCGGATGTGATTCGAACATGCGTGTGTATGTGTGTGTTGATCGTTCAACAGGTGGTTGGGGCGAGTGAAATTGGTTTGATATTTAGGTCAAAACGTGTGAATTGATCACTTGGTATTGGGGGTGAGATCCGTTCCATCCATGGATCTCGTAAGATTGGACCAATGAACTTCTCCATTTTCTGTTCGACTCTACCTTCAACCTTCCTGTCTTCTATCATTCATCCAAATGGACAGCCAAAGGACAGCAACCTAAACCGGCGCACGAAAGTGCATGGTTAATGGTTGTTCAAACTGAAACTGAGTAAGGCTTCCTTGTCAGAGGCTGTTTGAGACGCTTGGCCGTATGGGAGCATTTCGCGAGGTGCAAGGGGAGGGTAACCAGACACCTAATCCCGACCATAATGACAAAGTTAAATAGAATAGAAGATAAAAAGCAACTCTGACGAACACCACTTCCTTAGTAAGCTCGGGCGAGAGATTGCCGTAAGCTCCGGCTATAGTATAAAGGGATCGTATTATTTAAACTAACTTCTCTGGCACACCTTTCATGGAAAGGCAGCGCCAGAGTCTAGAGCGGTCGACTGAGTCGAAAGCCGATCTCAAATCGATTAAGACAGGGTTGGAGGGTCTACGAAAGGAATGTCGGTGCTCCAGAATTTGGCGCAGAGTGAAAATATGGTCGAAACAACCTCGACCAGGTCTAAAACCAGTCTGATTCTCACGCGTGCAGCAGACTATCGACGGAGTAAAATACCAGCGAAAGGTTTAGAGGCGTTGCTGATTTAACTGATTCCTCTGTGGTTTTCACAAGAGGATCTTTCGTTTTCAATTCATCATTCATTCAATTAGAACCTGTTCCCCCTGCCATATTGATCCCATGAGTTTCGTCAAATCCAAGACTAACGCTGAACCTCCATCATTAAACGCCGATGGGAACAGCCCATCTGAGTCGGAGGCCTTATTCCTTATGAGATAAAGTACATCCCGAGAAACCTCCATTTCAGATCGAAGACTGGCATCAACTGGGAGTACTTGCCCAGTCGAGGTGGGGGTGGGTGGTTCAGTTCAGTTCAGTTCGAACAACCATTAAGCATGCACTTTTTTGTGCCGCAGCTTTTTCCATCTCCCTACACCTCCCTACAGACCAAATATCGCGATCATTTCTCACACTCTTGATGAGCTGGTGCTTAAGGGATTTGCGCGGTGTCATATGTGGTATCAGCAGAAAGGTTTCTGCGGGCGTCCAGCACAGCAACTGAGATCGTCGAGATTTATCGTTTGTGCCTTGAGCCTGTGCCAGAGTCCTCCGTTGTTTTTATCGATATTTGCATGGTTTCATTTAATCGTTTCCAGTGTTCATTGAGTCCTTCGGTTGGTAGTTGAACTGATAGGTGATCGAAGGGCTCCGCTTCGAAGGCCGATTTACAACTATCGCTGGGTATCGTTTCCGGTGGCTTTATTGCGGTTTACCAGGGGTAGGGAGAACTTGGCTCGTAGCAAAGTGTAGTCCATATCTACAGGTGTTGACCAGTGAGGGCAGCAGTCTTGAATTGACTCCCCTCCAGCGGTAACTGTTGGCGATGTGGGTCCATTGCTGTGGAGAGGTTGGCGGTTTCCAAGTAGGGCGATGTCGTTTCTTGCGCAAGAAGTTGGCGCTTGACAGAACAATAAACTAATAAATTAAGTGATACTCGATCAGACTAATTTTCGATGTGAAAACTTTTGACCCAGCCGACTGAGAAAACAAACACAATTGACTAACTAAGCTAGAACCATCGGGATACAACTACAGCCTGAGTTCCGTGTATTACAGTGTACCAATTTTGAAGTCTTGCCCAGTAGGTACAGATTAACTGATGAGGTCGTACGACCTGGAGTCAATCGTAGGCTGGTAAAATGACATCGTTTAGCGTTGTTCCATGTGGTGTGCAGTCCATCCATCCTCATTAGTCCAGTTCCAACGTAAGTTCTGGCAGTTGTTGACTTTGTCCCTTAGTACAAAATTACTCAAACAATTGCCCAAATAGAATGAAACAAATCGTGAGAATACGATGTACGGCGTGGGGAAGACTAGATGCGGGAGCGCTGCGGTTCAACACTGTCGGATAAGACCGGTCACAAGGATCCATAACAACGAATCTAACATGATATATTCGGTTCCGGTTTTTATGTCTGCTCTGGTTAAGAATAGATTATTTCTACACTGCATCCAGATATCAATAATCTTGGGGAATGCAGCAAACCGAAGGAACGTGCGTAACGCGGGTGGTGATTCAGTGGTTTTTAAGTCACTATTACGGGCGTGCTTGGGTCTTAGGGTCCGAACGGGTCACCGTCATCCAACTTCTGTTCGTAAGTACCTTGACTGTCGCCTAGCTCTATAACACGCCTCTGCTAATGCAGCCTTGTGTGATTTGTTCCTCAACACCCCAGGGCTTATGTTGTCGATTCCCATGAGTGAACAGCGGGTTCTCCTGATTAAGGACTGTATCTTTCTTATCGTTCATTATACAATAGTGTAATAAACAAATCGGAAAAGATAAGACGCCTATGATAAAGCTGACTTGAACACCGGAAGCTAAACGAAGGATAGCGATGCTCCAGCTGAAAAACCGGACAGCGATATTACTGTTTCTATGTGGCATTTTGCACCCCCGAAAATAAATCCCGCTCCGCTGGTAAAGGACGCTTCTAGCGTAGAACAGAAAAGGAATTTAACGGAATTAATTCTACCTGCACGAGGTGCATATTTTTATTGATTTTTTCCTATTTCGTTGCGTCTAACCATAATCGCATAGCGCTCGGGCCTGAAGAATACAGAAATCAAGATGCGTTACTGTCTGGATAGCTATAAGACACTAATGGACCGTTGTAAACACAGACGGTAATTTCCTCTGAATTTATGGCACTATCGGAGCGATCAAAAATGCTGGAGTGATGCCGAATAAGGTGGTACTTGAAGTGTATTCACGAATGCAAATAGCACATTTTTGTTGCTCAAAAATAAACAAAATCCTCCTTGGGAGCACAATCCGATCTGGCTTTCTTAAACATTCACGAGGATGGGAAAAGATGTAGTGAAAATATGAAATGTACAGAAGATAACTGAGCTGGAAAATGATGAGAATGAATGTAAGACAATATTCTGATCAGTTAATTGTACAGGATCACGTATTTGTTTCCCAGCGGCATTTGTGTCGCTGACGTTCCGCCCGAAATCGAGATACACGAGCTGGTTGCACTGGCAACTGGCTGTCCATTGGGACCAACTCAGAGTCACCTTTACACGTGTTTGCATCCCGTTCGACAATCTCCGTGAAAGCACTTGTGGGTTTTGGTTCTGCTGATTCAGAGATTAAAAGAGTGCCATGAGTTCGTATTTGATTTACTGCTTCCGCGACTGTCATGTTGCCCTGATCAGGGATTTCTATGCGTACACCAGGAGATGGAACAGAACTATGCTGAAAATGGATAAAACTTTCTGGAGGTGAGTTATCACTGGCTGATGAAGAAGTCGAGGACGCTGCGGAATCATCACTGTTGTTATTTTCTTCCTGGTGACTGTTCGCTTTTGTGGTTCCTTTAACAAAACGAACTCGTCGTTTTATAACTGGATCGGGCATCTTGGTCAGAGCCTCGCGTTCTTTTTCACGTGCAGATCGATGTTTTGCCCGCCACTCTCGTTCCGTATCAGAGTCGTAGGATTCACGAATTTCCACTTCATCGCATTCCTGAACGGTTGTTAATTCCTTCGCGGTCGATGGAGGCTGAGTGATAATATGCGGTGCCTGTTGAGCGAACTGGCTGGTGTATTGAACACGGTCATGGATCAATCGACGCTGTTCGTTCAATTTTTCTACCGAGGCATCCAATCGTTCAATACGACGCTTGATCAACTCAATCGTCTCGTGAACAGACAGTTCGGCAAAATACTCATCAGAACCTCCGAGATGAACAAGTAGTTCGTTCGTGTGGATCAGACGCCCCGGAACCAGGGCTTTTCGACCAAATGGAAGAATGGCCGGTCTCGATACAGCTTTCGGAAAATCATGCAGCTTGGTTATTAAAGTTTGATAATCTGCCTTAAAAGCAAGCAAAGCGGTTATCTCGTCGTCTGTTTTACGAATTCCAACGTCCTGTTCTCGAAGAAGACGTTGGAGAGACTGTGTATCAGTCATTTGATCTTTGCAATTTGCTACTGAAAAGCAAAATAAATACGGAATAAGCCAAACGACAGGAACAGAAGTTCAAAATGCAACCAAAGCAACAATAACAATATTACAATCAACCATTCTACTAGTATTATACACATCTGATAACTGTGGTATATATCATAATATACATTTAAGTGGTGTGAAGAGCCCCCCTAGGAGACCGAACCTTGAAGTGGCGTGATAGCTTATGTAACATATGACCCAATGAGCTACAAAAGATGTTTTTTGTTAAGACGAAGGTAGAAGGGAGTTCAGACTATTTTCCTCGTTCTCCGAGTTTGGGGTTTGAGCAGAGTTGGCGTCTCAGTTGATTGAAAAATAGTGGGGGGGGGGTAACCGACCCAAATAGACGGGCCTTCTGTTCACGATACTTGCTGCCGTCACGTTCCTGTCCAAACTGAAGGTTTTAGTTGAGAACCCTAATTGTTCTAATGATTAGTGGTTGGGCTTTCTAGCAGTAACCGTCCATAAGGCTCCAATCCTGGATACCCTCGGGTTAAGTGGTGCCGAATGCTATCAGGCGCGTCCCCGGTTTGTGGATAGGGGGGTACCTTCACCAAACAAAGCTAGCTCTGAATAAGTGGTGGCATACCGCAATAAATAAGCAGTCGCGAACAAACAGCGGCGGTATTCCCAGAGTGTGGTGGGTTTTAGGCTGGTCACCTGGCTCCTGTTTAAAAGCCAAATAGACCCAATGACGGTGTTATGACAAAGGTCGATGTGACTGGCCTTTTAAAACTAGTCATTGAGCCCCTCACTTCCGAGGCGAGGGCTTACTTCCTGCTGCCTTGCGATTCGCACTTGGTTGTGCAAAGGCTAGAGGTGCGGCCTCAAAATAAAAAAACACCGATTGACGCTGGGGAGGTCTCTCGTACCAAACTCCCAAGGAACTTCATGATCATGTCTGGAGCCGGCTTATCCTTTCCAAGGAGCCAGCCGCAGTAAAGTTAAGTAAGTATATGGCTCCAATGAACATACAAACGAAATACAATTCCATACTACATCGGTCGTCACGCAGGATAATCAGGACCGTGCTGCCCACTGAATCAAGCAAGTGAAGTGATACATGTGATATATGGGATACAGTTCAGTTCAGTTTGAACAACCATTAAGCACGCATATTCGAGCGCCGGTTTTGGTTGCTGTCTTTTGGCTGCCCATTTGGATGAAGAATAGGAGAAGAAAGCAGTCGAAAGGAAAATGGAGAAGTTCAGTGGTCTAAGGTTGCCAAGAAATTAAGGAGATGCACGAAACGCCACTGTTCACGACACCCAGCCATATCACTTAGTGTCTCTAACCATCGGTTACGATCATCCCGAGGTCCC